CAGATTTCTGGCTGCAAGTTCCAAGTTGAGCTCTCTGTCCTCCTGTAGGGTTGAACTCTGCAGAGTTGTACTGCAGGTTCCAGCTGCCCTTCCCCTGAAGATAGTCCCGGTCCTGATGGGAGGTGAAGATGACTCCAGCTTACCCAGTACAGTGGTCTGGTGGTCCGATGTCCTCTGCGTCTTTGTAGTGTGGAACCAGGTGGCTGTACAGAGGAGTGGGGGTGGGGGATGGGTGGGGGGGTCTCCAGTGGATTGCTGTCAGGGCGCGGGCTGATTCGGTTCTTTCAGTGTGACTCCAGACGTTGTTACGGCGTCCCGAAAGTAAATAGTATCAGCTTACATCTGTTAGGATGTTCACTCTCAAAACAATAGAAAATAAAATTGATGAGGGCATGGAGAAATTGGAATCCTTGTGCACTAATTAAGATTGTAAAATGGCACAACCACCATGGAAAGCAATATATGATTTTATTTTTAATATTCCCTAACTGTAAACAATCCTGATTTTCTTCAATGGGTGAATGATCAAGTCAACTGTGCTGTGGTCTGGATGCTGAGTGTCCCCTAAGGGCCATAGGTTACAGCTTTGGTCTCCAAGATGGTACTGATGAGAGGCACTGTGGAGCTTCAGGAGGTGGAGCCTGTGGGAGATCTTGAGATCTTTGGGGTTATGCCTCCATAAGGGTTGTGAGTCCCCAGTTTGTCCTCTTCCTCTTTTTTATTGCTTGTGATGCAAACAGTTTCCTCTACTGCATATTTCTGCCATGATGTGCTGCCCTCAGTCTTGGACTGGAACCTCCAGAACTGTGAGTCAAAATTAACCTTTCTTATTATGACTTAACTGCCTCCAGTATTTGGTTATAGTAATGTGAGGCTCATACACTGTAGAACATCCGCACCACAGAATACTCTTCAAAAAGAAAAAGGAGAGCACTTCTGATTCATCATCACTTGGATAAATCTCTAGAGAGTTATGCTGAGTAGGAAAACGCCAATTCCATACATATATCATGCTTCAAATGACAGAATTCTAGAAATGGAGAACAGATTAGTGGTCATCTGGAATTACAGGTTAGGAGGAGAGATACAGTTGAGGATATAAAAAGACAACACCAGAGACCTTTGTGCTGTTGAAGGTGCTCTGTATCTTGACTCTAGTGGTACATACATGAACCACTCTATAAAGACCATAAGTTTATATACCCCACCTCCAACATCTGCATGCATCATGCATGTACACATTTTGATCTTATCATATCCTGTGGAACTAAAGGATTCTGGATTTCTGAAAATGGAACCAAATATAATTAGCCTGTCAGATAAGATATATAGACAAACATGATTGATGGATATATAGATATATCATAGTAAACTAATAAGTGATTGCAGGCAACATAGAGGATGAAAAAGATTACCCAGAGATTAGACTTAGTTCAGTTACCAAGAGGTGACTTGTATGTTTTCGCTCCACATTTTAACCACTCATGCCTCATAGAGTCTATGTGCTTTTGTCTTGCAGTTTAGTTATTCAGTTTAATCATTCACTCCTGGCTAGGTTCCCCACATAGATAGATGATAGAAATAGACAGTACATGGATGGATAGAGAGACTGAGACAGATAAGACAGATGGATATATTCATCAAATAAGTGCATTGTTTCAAATCTAAGAAGGATGAGAAAGAATTTATATGCTGAAAATACTTTTTAGAGTCCCTAGCAGTGAATTCAAAATTGATTCCCTTCTGGATTCAAATACCAAAGCTTAGTTTTTTCACAAGTCTTAAAAATCAACTTAAAAACTATTTGTTCTATTAATAAAGCAGATACTATTTAAAATAACAATAATTTCCTTCCTGGTTAATTTATATTCAGATGTAAGATTAATTTCTCCATAAACAAGTAATCTTTTTACAAAATTTTTAAACTACATTTTCCTAAAATGATAAAAATATATGGAAAAGGAGTTTGACCCAATGGCAGACCAGCTTGTTTCACACTAAACTCTCACTAAAAAGAACTGCAGAGGAGAATTTATAGGGTATTTCCTTACAGTATTGACACTACATGTTGGCAAGGATCAGAGCTCCTGAACCTCATTCTATAGGAGAGGAGGAACTGCTACCACCACCAAGGAAAATTCTTTGCAGTACTTAAACTTTATGGCACAGAATTCTTTCTACCAGCCTGTATACTGCAGAAATGTCTGCACCTGGGTCAGAAAGCACATATGAGAAAGTTCATAGTAGCATCATTGAGAATATTCATCTCTACTCTCTGATGGGTTTGTAGATCCAGAATGGGAGAGATGGATACCCTGGTTTCCTGCTTTGCAAATGGCCCATCCTCGTTCAGCCCACCTGATACAGGCCTCTCCTGCACCTCCAACCTCCAGCAATCTGGAGACAGTAAGTTGGCAGCAGTCTTCATGTCAGAATTTAATGCCTTCAGTCCAAGTGCTGGGAGCATATGACACAGGGAGAAAAGCACATCCCTTTTTCCCCTTCCCAAAATATGGGGAGAAAAACAAATGGTCTCCCTCTTAGAATATTGTACTCCTCTCATTGTGACTGACTCCTCCTTCAATCACTGATGAAATCAAGATCAAGAAGATCATTAAGGATAGGGGTAATTTGTTTGAACCACATTCATACTCTAAGGGCTGCCTGTGTACCTGAGTGGTCATAATTGCAGACTTGTTGAAGACTTGGACTCGTAGCTCCCTCTCAGACATCCTGAGTTGGACACTTGGGTGTGGGCACAACAACCAGTTTCAAGAGATTGTCAGGTCATTCTGCTGGTGCTGATCTGCTAAAAACTGCTGCTTAGAATACTTGGGACTTCTTATAGCATAAGGGCTCTATAAAAATGTGCCAGGAAGTAAAGAAAACCAGTCCACTATCACATGGCTCCATGTTGGTTCAAACAGATATGATTTTTCACTAAGCAACTTAATTTTTTCTCACTTACTACTTAACTAAAAGATAAATGGCAGTAAATTTACTATTACTTTAGACAAGTTATAAAATTATAAGCCTACGGAAAGAAATTTAAAAAGAGCCTAACTTTCATGGAAGAAAAATGGAAAGTAAGAAAGAACAGCCCTCAATCAATTAATTGAAACTCAATCCAAATTTAACAAATATTTATAGAAGTATCATTATAAGCTACAGTGTATTAGAAATCATTGAATGAACAAATAATACTATTTGACACCATTGCTTCACAGATCCGAAAATATTCTCAGAATAAGTGTGTGTGTGTGTGCATGTGTGTGTGAAAGGTGGCCCCCAGTGACCTCCGGGGGAGGACATTAGTGAGAACTAGAAACAGAAACCTGGGATGTATTAGTCTGAAGAGTGTAGGAAATGAGGAAATAGAGATAACAGAAATTAAACATGTCTACCAACAGGAAAATAATAATCTCACACTGTGTTGGGTTAATTAATATGAATTTAGTATACAGAATCAATAGGAAGGCATGAAGAGTAGAACAAGATTAAACATGAAAAAGTACTAAGAAATCTATTTTGGTCATCTAAGTAAAGGGGGATAAAAGCTTGAGAAGAATCCAGACTAGACCAAAAAACTTCATAGTAGATACTATAATTAAGTAAATATGTAATAACTAGAAAATTAATTTTAAAACATGGGCATTAATGGAGTTCATGGTCAAAAGCATTCCATTGAAAAGACCTTTTACTTAAGTTCATTTTAAATATAATTTTGTTCATACTGCTAATTTATGTTATGGAGTTATATTTAGTATCCCTCATCTCATGCTAAAAGTGCATTTGATCATTTTGTACACAAAGATAAAACTACATACAAGGCTTACCATGGCTTAATGACCACAGAAACTTTTATTTCTAGAGGTTTATGAAAATGTGATCATGAAAACAAATGAGTGATTGATTTTTCTTTCACCTAAATATCATGGCAGTGAATGCCCTTGAATGTGTTCTTTTAACATCCACCACACAAGCATTATCTACTTATATAGATTCATTGATGAAGAATAGTATATGACCTATAATCTTTTAACCTTTAGTGGAGGTATAATAAAAGATATGAAGCACATCAAAATTTTAAGGCTTTAAGTGAGATATTGTGACATTTTAGAAATTTATACATACATAGCCTCCAAAAAATACTTGTAATCCTAATCCCTGAAAGCCATCAAATAATCTTATTTTAAGATGCAATTCCATTAAAGATCTCAAGATAAAATCATCCCGGATTATCTGAGTGATCCCTAAATCCCATATCCTTAAAAGAAAAGGAAGAGAACACTGACAAGAGGAAGGGGCTATGTAAGAATGGAGTAGAAACTGGATTTAGATGCCACAAATTGAGGAACACTTGGAGCCCGAGAACCTGAGAGAGATGGCAGATTCTCCCATAAGGCCTTTCTGGGGAGGGCAGCCCTGCAAAGCCTTCACCTCTGACCCCCAGAAATGGGAAAGAATAAATATGTCTTGCTTAACTCACTAAATTTGTGATATTTCTTATAGCATCTACAGAAAATAAATACATATAATAATTTTTCAAATCTGGCATACAAAGTATATAAACTCTTTGCTGACATTCATTCAAATGCAATTCACTCATCCTCATCTGGATTGAAATTTGCACTGTGTCTTTTTTCCCTTTACCTCTAGTCCTCTGTTGAGGCAAATAGATAAGAAAGATGCCCAAAGCAATTTTCAGGAGAATTTCCTTAAGCAAGGAGAGTGCATAAGATTGTACCTTATAACTTTAGCTAAAAAATCTGAAGCAAAGGATAGCAAAGGAAATGGACCAAGTATCCGCACTCTGTTTTCCCTCTGCAGGACTGGGTTTACTATTTGTTCCATAAAAACATTGAGGCTTTTTGTGATACAAATCCTAGGGAAAAAGAAGATGAACATCAGACTTGCTAGATTATTCCTTCTGTGAGGCAATTTTTTTTTGTCATTAAATATAGATGTAGGGTATTTACTAATAATCACCAATAGTATTTGGAAGACTATCTCTGCCCTTTACAGTTGTCTTGACTTTTTTTTAAACAAAGTTCTGATATAGTTAAAAAGAAAATGTTTATGATGAGAAAGAAGCAGGGTGAAAGAACCAGCAAATAATTCTTAAAACATCACCATCCTGTGGGACCATTATATACAAGTAATGACGACACAAATGAAAGAAAAGCCCAAGCCTGGACCAGCATGTGGGGAGAAGTGTCCCCATACCTATGGCGTGGATGGCTCAACACGGCACCATTGGCAAATCACAGGCACATTCCTTTCCTTGGCTCTGTAGTCAAGAGACACAGTGATGCCCACACAAGCACTTCACACTGGGGCCAGTCATGGCAGGGACAGGATGGTGCCTCACAGATGCCTTTGCCATGTGACTTGTCACCATGGCAGCCCCATTCATTTGGGTTAGTGGCAAAGTTTCCAACAAATTTAATTTCAAAAAAACCGAAACAACACAATGCACACCACTCCTGTACTGGATTTACCTGGACTGAGATGTCTGGATTTGCTTCATCAGACCCTAACATACTTTTATGAAGGGAAACTGTAGCATTTTTTCAGATTTCCATTTGGTGTGAGACTAAGCCTCTGGGACATGGTAGGAGGGTTCAGTACCCCATAGAAGAGAGAAGACTGGAGGGGAAGCCACGGAGCCTGACTAGAAGGGAGGACCTCACTCGCGGTGGTTCTCAGATCCTCACCAGGAAAGGACTGGGATTCTTCAGGACACTGGCAGACGTAAGTGCAGCACACACAAGGGTTCAACTTTCAATATTTGCAGGAACTCCTGAGAAGCCCCTGAAAGTTACCTTTTGCCACATCCATATTTTTCATGCTAAATAACTTCCCTACAGAATATGCACATAAAAATCAAATGTTGCTTAGAGGGCTATCATGGCAAATTTGTAGGAAAATTGACCCACCAAGAGCTCATAATGCTAAGTGAAACATATCAGACACAGAGGTTAAGTATCATATGGTTTCTTTCATATGAAGAACCCAAAGTATAAATAATTTAAAAGTAAAATAGAGGATAAATGACAGGAAACAGGGAGATAGTCTACGTGGAGATAGGAAGGGGATCTTAGGATGGGGAAAACAGGAAGGAGGGGACTGGCAGAGGAAATAAAGAAGGATCAAGATGTGACAAGTATATATACCAATGCACAGTGAATGTATTTATTATGTATTGCAAACATTAATACAAAAATAAACATCAATAGCATCCTTTTCTTCACTTATTTTAATTCTAAGGGCACAATCTGCTGATCATTATTTTTCTTTTTTCTTTTAATCAGATTGATTCATAATCAAGAAAACTCAGTTTGTATGTACATTGGCCTGCATCCAGGAATATGTCCAACCTGCTTTACCATTACACTGTTGGGAGTAAATCCATGAGAATAATACTGCTGTAACATGAAAGGGAAAACCAATGTGGCAGGGTGACTGTGTGGGGGACCTGATCAGATACAAGTGTGACCATGTCCAGGCTGAGCCCATTCTGAAACAACCATGGACTAGATCTAGAGTCTTAAAAATGTCCTTTTTGTTCAGTTCTGGCGATTGAACCCAGGGGCTTCAGACAGAGCTACATCCTCAGATAGACAGACAGACA